TCGTTAGTGAGCTCTCATTTTGTGACCCTTGACAACAAACGGATCGACCGTTATCTCGTTTGAGGACGAGGACGGCTTCTTGATACAACTTATGTACCTCGCTCTGTAGTACACTCGAGAACAAAACAGCCCCAAGCTGGAACGAGCACAGAAAGGGACCATCATACTCCTGTACAAAAGCTCACAGCACGGTTGAGGCGGAAGCCGCCGTGCGACAATGAGTCGTGTTCTATACACCACCGCTGATACACATAAACAGAATCAGTCCACTGAGGAAATTTAGACGAGGGGACACCAGGTGCCTCCCATATATATTGGAGACCAAGCTAAATGTAAAAGCTCTCTCATTGAACAATCGTATAAAGACTACATATGCTCAGAAATCATAAGAACCATTGATCAACACCCGAGGACGCATACTACCTAATTTATCCGCATCAACATTGATATCTGTACCATAATACTAAGACAACATAGAAAATACCAACTCACTGTCAGCGAAAACACACAGCCTATGGTATCAGGCAACTGCCGGACGATTTGCATGATGCGTATGCGTTTTAATATAGTCAGATGACTGGGGAGACTCCGCAATAGCCGAACAGTTAGTATTAAGAGAGGAGCTACCTTTGAAAAGCGTTGGTGACCGGAAAAGTACCCCTTAAGACACATCACCCATCTCACGGTGTACCAAAGGTACGCGTGTCTCCCCGACGCAATAAACAGCAGGCGTGGCGTTACGGTGGAACCAGTTGCTATTGATACGACAATCTTAACACAGGCCAATCACCCTTACCGGTGTTTCACCCGTTATCGTAAACATTACCTAACATCTGACTCATCATGCCCACTTCCACTGCCTTATCGCTTGCAAGTTCATTATCCTAAGGAATCATGAGCAATTGACGCATAGTGGATATAATCATTTCACAAAAACTGCGGCGAGTTACCCCCCGGTCTAACACTACAAGATTATAGCGCACTAGCCAGAATTTCACAGAGACGAGTATTTCATAGTAAGTGTCTAGCCTTATTTGACTCAATATGTTTGCTCGTTTATGCGAGCACAGAAGTACGCTTCAGGCCAGCTCTGCATACTTCTTCATTGAAATTCTTCATTATAAAACAACACGTGAAACCCACTCCAATTACATAAACGCCGGAAACATCGAGCCAGTTCATGTAGTTTGGACTTCACGGCAATTTAATTGTTAGATTATGAAGCACTGCACAGACCAGATAGATTAGGCAAGTACCTGAACGCCCGTGACACAGTACACAACTATACGGGCCGGGGTGGGCAAAAGGCAAGAATGCCATATATAAAAATATGGCAAATAAAGGTGAAGGCGAGTAGTGTGAAATCTTAGGCACGGGTAAGGAATTTACACTTGTATATAGGCGATTATGATGTTCATGAAAGATACGGATAGTTACGCGCGCCACACGACATCCTGAACTCTACCTCATTTTCAGACCCTACTGGGAACTCCGACGTGGTTGCTTTATCCTGCTTTTGCTCCCTCTTGATCTGTTTTTCTTTTCTTATTTTTTTTTCTAAATTCTCTGCTTCTTTTCAGAAAAACGGAATCCAGGCCGCTCAAAGCCACAGCTGCGACTATGTCCAACATCGTTATCCGCTGCCTGCTGCCCTCTCAAACGGAGAGTGCAAGGGAACCAGTACACCGTTTTGAGTGGTTTCCGGGCGCATATCTCACTGCAGTGCAAAACCGACGTTGTTACGTGACGCCAATATGTGCACATCCTATGAAAAAGATTTTCACCGGCGACTTATAGAGGAATTTTCTCAGGAGCCGAAAAAGGCACTTAGGACGAGTATGTATTGAGCCCTGCGCCCTTGCACCCCAATGGACGACGGAGTGCGAAATCGCAACTAGCCGCGCGGAACCAGCGTATCCGCGCACGCCAGCGTCGGTGCGGCCAACTATTCCTCGATGTGCGGTTGACGTCAGTCTGTCAACTTGTAAGACAGCCCAACTTGTATGCGTTCGAGCCCAAGACACTATGCATGCTCCCAGTCCGATATCCATCTTTTCATATACGCTTGTTATTCGAACTTTCGACAGCCACGACAACCTCACCTCTCGCACACCGCGCGCGCGCGGCGCGCCCGGACTCACGTCGCTCGGCGACGCTGCTGCGCGACGGAAAGACGAACGTTGCTCTAAGCGTGGGCTGCGGCGGAAATGTCGACCATCAACGATCGCCTATGTTCCACAATACTCCTTACCTCACACAACTATATTTTTTGGATCGTAACAATCAGTCCGAGGACGACGTACCAGTACGAGCCGTGTAACCACAGCCTTCCTCGATCTGCCTTTGCATTACCAGATGCGAAAATCGCTGCTCGCGGTAGGCCAATCGATTTGGGAAGAAAATATCCGAGTGGTGGTGGTCAGCACAGCGGTGGTCGACGTACCGGTGAGCCAGCGCCGCCTGATTGAGACCCGGCACTGATTGCGAATATCAACTCTATTTATTTCTATTTTTCTTTTTCTGTAACAAAAACAGAACATTTTGGAAGACATACCTCCCAAGCATAGAACTTTACAGGTAGCACAAAGATTGTGCAGACAGGACCAAAATTAACCGCAAGAAATGCGTTTACCTCAGCGTGTTGTTACTACAGCTGCTTCACTAGGAGTTATGCGATAAGGAATTGCATCTTAATTCTTTCTCAGGGCTGATTTCTGCCAATCAATGTCCGAATGGTCAATTGAAAATCCAGGAAAATCGTCTTGCCTCTGACGAAGAGGAGCCTGGCAAAATGCCGTCAGGAGATGGAGCGGAGTTGATGTCCTACACGATCTTCGCTATTTCAAATACTCACACATGGTGATACTTAAAAAGTGCCGCGTTTAACCTGAAATCTGGAGCGAGCATCTCGGGAGAAGACCTTACAGCTCCATCCATTTTTTAGCTTCCCGTAGAGAACTGTGCGGCTGCAAAGGGCGAAGTGTCGCACATCAAGCCGCTAAAGCATGGCACTGCTGCCACGCCAACTCGTTCCGGCGAACGAGCGGTTGTCGCCTCCATTCGCTGGTCCCTTGTAGTCGTCTATCGCTAATTATGCACTGTAAGGACAGCTGGCTGCCAAAGTTAGCTCATATCACATGAACGTAGCTTAGCAGAGGCTCCATGACCACAAGCTATCACACAACTTGTGTCAGCACTCTATGGATGCCTGTGGTGTAGTTCAGGCACAATCGCACTTGCGACTTAGAGTTGCACGGGCCTAGTCCACACATTCAATCAATTTGACGTCTAAGCGCGCACTTGAGAAAGGGAGATGTTACAAACCTCGCCGCGTTATGACCGCGCTCATTTACGAACCCCACATAATAGAAAATGAATAAGGCCTGCCGCAAGTTCATCCAACGAACTGACTAGGGAAACAGCCTACACTATGTACACGCCTATCGCAGAATTTCGGATTTCTGGACCACGCCAAACTTCTTCATCAAAGCAAAAAGGCCCCAATAATGGCACGCACCCCTGGGTCGGCCCGTGTCAACCGAGACGGCCCAACTACTGCTGCTATTTCGCACGTACTTCTGTACGAACTCTGATGGGTCTCAGCTCATATACAGCTTCAAGTGCAGCACAACAACGTAGTATGACGCGTTTTCGGCGATTATCAGATGGGAGGTACACGCTGAAGGAAACAGCCTGGAACACTCTCTAAGGAGTTCACATTACCGAAATGGTGGTGTACATAGCGAGTAACCCCTGATCGAGTTCCCTCTCAGAAGGAAAACTCTGAGCAGGAAATGCAAACTGTTCTTAACTTTACGAATTCCGTTGTCTGACAAGCCGCGCTCGCTCAATATTCGAATCGTTGCTCTGTGTATCATTGCTCCCGACCTATTCGCGCCGGTAACGTCCATTGAACATACGATCTATCGTATAAGTGAAAGGTCAAGGTTTTCTTCGGCCGCCGCCTCCCCCCACCTTTCTATAGATATTAGAGGTGGGGAGAACGCTTTTCCAACCAAGCACCAGAAATAGTAAATTTTCCACGCCGCCTCTGAAGGTGGGTTATAAGCGGCACGCATCACACCTTCTCCTTACCTGCGTTGTGGTTTCCACAATGACGATGTGCCGTGGTGGCAATCGATCGTTTGCGTGTTGCCCATGATAGGGGAAGAGTAAGCATCACGCTCCCAGCAAGCTACGTGCCCGCTATAGGCGCGGCTATCGATTTTTTCGCGCCAAGGGCACCAGTCGCTGGCTGGCAGGCGATTGAAAGGTATAAACGCGTGGATAAAAGCAGCCAGAAAACAGAAAATTCGGAATATACTTTTGGTTCTCAAGTAAGTTCGTTAATATTCTCTATTTCTGTTAGTCTGGTTTAGAGGAAGGTTCACCTTGGTAGGCGCAACCGGTACGGCAGGGAAGGGGGAAGCATTTGAAAGTCTCCTTGTGCAAAATTGAGATTGCCGTGATGAAGATGGAGTTCTTTTGCATAAGCCTAGTAGGGAAAGAGCACCAGGGTGAATAGATCAATGCTCTGCGTTAATCAATGAGGTGTCCCAAGTTTCACAGGGAGTCATTTGAATACCTCCACTCGGCCGACCTTCCCCTCCCGCTGTCGAATATTTTTGACGTCGTGCTCGCGATTCAGGAGCTCGATCAAGAATCTCTTAGACAGCTGTACATGCAAGAGGTGGCAAGAATTTGGGGGCCACCTAACAGGAATCCCATCAGAATGAATGAGCAGCCTCCACACGTAACTGGTTTATGTCATTTTGTGGTTATTTACTATTTTATAGATGGCAAGATAATTGCTTGTATTCTGAATGTGTCTGGAATCTCACTTTTTTTTACAGACAATTCGTGATGACGAACAGTTTGGTGCTGTGCCTAACGCGTAAGTGAAAACTTCTTAACACTCCAAATTTCTAGAAATGTGGAAGGCGTGTCTTTGACGCTGCGCTGGTTACTCGAGTAGATTTCAGAAAAAGGGTGACATGTGGATTGATTTTTTTCCTGGTGCAGTCAGCTCCTTCCTAGATATAGGCGGTCTTCCTTGGGACCGGAGGAATGGCCGTTCCGTGTCACTATGCTCACAACCACTCACAGCTCAATGCCAACACGCCCTCCCCATCTTCGGGATATGATCGCACCTGCAAGGGAATATTTCCCAACGAATGCGGCTCCGCTACTGAAGTCACCTCCATACACAGCATGTGACCAGAACTTGTTTAGTTATTGATTTGTCCAGCGCACTTAACTTCCCAAGACTTGTAGCTACCAAGTGCGCAATGGGCGTGTGGCTGCGTAGCGGTCGTACCAGGAATACAAACCGTCAGTTCTTTTAACCGCGTTTGCCTTAACCATTGTAATGAGTTGCAGTTGGGTCTTCAATTTGCAATACAAAAATGCGCGCCGCTCCGCTTCCGCATTTTCCACTATACGCGCTGTCTTGCTCCCTGCTTATGTTGGGCGTGTCAGAAGTGAGGGTGGGGGGGGGGGGGGGAGAAGAGGGGCGGTCTGACGCGGCGCGAGCACGTTTTCCCCAACTGTCGTCGATTTCTATTCTTCAACATTTGAAGAAGAAGCGGCTGGCGCCGTACCTGCCTAGCCCCTGACGCTCGCCAGCATTCGCAGCGAGCAAACCTGTAAGGTTTCCGTATTTGTTTTTGGCTCAAAATCATAACTATTTACAAATAAAACTCGTCCCGTTGTGCACCTCATTTTCATGCCAAATTGTGCGCATGCGAATACAGTCATGAGCCCCCTTGATGTGGCGTGGGACGGGTGCATGGCCTGGAGCGCAGCCAGGGCAGATTTTCCACCAATTGTAGCAGCCTCATGTTGGCATAATTGTTGGGACATGGCTGCCCTGGCTGCACCACAATACGCAGCGCGTCACATGCCCCGTCAGTTGCAGGTATTATGACTGTACATTCAAAGAGTGAAAAGATCTGTGTCGTTAGATGAGATGCATACTAATTCCTCTTGAAAGTCTCGGCGATGGTGGCTTCCAATCCACCATAGCATTTTTGTGCAATGGTTCTTCAACTTATGATGATGAATCTTGCTTGGGACTTTTTTTTCGAGCAAACAGCTTCCTTTCTTTCTTCGTTGGATGTCCTTGATGGCTGGGAGGAGCAGGGAAACGATTGTGAGACGGAGAATTTTGCCTGAACTTATAAGGGAGGAGCTCCGGGGAGGCTGAACAAGCTCGTCCGAATAAAGCTTCTTCCGACCTGCATTCAGGGAAGAATGAGCATGGGTGCCCTACGGTAAACTGTCCCGGAATGTTGGACTATCGCCAAATTTCTCTTGAACGAAAGTTTGTCTCCGCTCCAGTTAATTCTAATGTCATCATTTAGCGTTGAAGACAACGAGATAGAGCTCTTGGAGTCCCACAATGTGGGTGATGACGACATTGAACTCGTCGCAGAATTTGCACCCAATTTTCTCGGCGTAAATGGCTTTCATCAACAGAATAATCACTATGGCTATGGCGCCGTTGCACATGGACCCGTGCTTGAAGGCCGTGAGCTTTCTTTGACGTTAATCCTAACTTTTCAATTTTATGCACAGTGGGCTAAGCGAGGACATTGGAAGGCAATGGGCACCAGTTGACTGAGCTACAGTCATGATCCCTGCATACGATACGGCGTCTGACGGAGACATAGCTGGTGGCGGAGTTAGATCAGATTTCTCACCAGTAGTAGCAGTAGCGCGCTCAGGATGCCATGACAGACGGAAAAAAAGAACGCTCCGGCTGAGCTCCGATGCGCGCCGCGTCAGACGCCCTATCGCTTGCAATTATCATGACTGTGTAGGGCAAATAGCAGAAAAGAATATTGTACCCTTGAGCAGGCGCTGCGTAGCGTCAAGATAATGTCACTAGAGCGTCCCTATTTGTGTTAAAGACACTTTCTGTTGTCGTTTCGAGGCTTGCCTTCTCATGAAATCATGTTTACACTGCTATGAAGCAGTTAGTTAGGGCCCTACTTCGATCGATTCTTCCCGTTTTAGTTTCCCTTTCGCTCTATTTATAGGGCCCTATTCCGAGCGATTCGTCCCATTTCAGTATCCCTTTCGCTCTAATTGTTTCCACCCTTTTCCGCTTTCTGCTGTACCGATGGTCTGTTGTTCCTTCGATCAGTTATCTCCTTCATTGCGTTACCAACTGCAGGCGTAGCTCACGCAACACGGCGACTACGACGAAACTGGCACACACCTCTTAACCATCACTTTGTGTCCATCCTAAGTTTAATTGTCCTTGGTTCAAAGGCGGTGAACACGATGGGTGGGGGAGAGCGGTCACTGGCAACGTCATTGGTGGCAGTGCTGAGTGGGGTGCGGCCGAGGACCCTTCCACCAGTGACGTTGGCAGTAACCGCCCGTCCCACCTCTCTTGCCCACTCCCTTCAGGAAGACAAGAGCTGAAGGTTCTCCTCAAAACATATCGCCTTTTAGCACCCGATGATCCCTCCAGGCGAGTACAACTCCCTCATGATGTCACATTTAGATCCCACGATTGTGGGCCGATCTTATGGGTTGAATTTCCAATTTCGCTCATAGGAAAGAAAAAAAAAGACCATTCGGGGTTACTGGTCATAATAGTAATTGGTGTGATACTACCATTGGCACTGAGGAGCGGTCGTTCACACACCAGCGATAGCCTGCAGAAAGCACACTATGGCAACTAGTAAGCGGGCACCGACAGCGCGACTTACAACTACTTGAATGGCTTTAGAGCACAACCCATTCCTCTGTTAATCTAATGATGGTCAAGAAATATATGCCTTCAATTTTGGATCGCGAGAGGCAACTTTTTCTCCTTTTGGATACTTGTCCATTCCCAAAGTAAGCTTCGACTTTCATTTCAGTAATAAGGGCGATTACAGTTGACGAGATTATCGATGCAGTTGACGAGATTCTCGATGGCTTGGATGGGTCTTTTATAACGATGTCGGAAATGTTGGATGATGATGAGGTGAAGTTTTTTTTCGTATGAGCATGTGATAAGACAATCGTAAAATGGCGCGTTGATGGGCGTGGCGAGCGAAGTCGCGCCCGGCGGACGAGATCTCATGCACAACCATTTGAATATTAGTGTCAAAAGGATGGGGCTATTAGATTTTGCCCGTGGGGTCTTGTCTTTGCTTGAGATCCTACGAGATCGGCTGCACCAGTCAACACACTGATGCTCCTCGAGAATTAGCCGTGCGTCATCTCATGATACGTCACCTCGACGAAGCATCAAGTTCCGATTGTCTTGTCCACCTCCCCTTTTGGATCATGTCCAGCCACAACTTGTTAATTGCTAAATTTCTCTTGCAACATATATACCCATATTAGGCTACAAGTGTAAAAGAAGATAATTTCTACACTCGTGGACTAATAAGGGTATACACGCTATAGGGAAGAGCAAAACATCCACGTTCATTCATAGCCGCTGCCAGAGGAGCTCTAGAAAAAAATCGACAACTAAGTCGTATCAGACCGATAGTAAGGTTTCCAGGACGTCTGGGGCGTCTGCCGTCAGGCTTGGGCATCTCAGAGGAGAAATGATAGCAATTCCCAGTAAGCCAAGGAAAGCTTTGGTTCAAAGTTCAGGGAATCGTTTGTTTTGTTGAGTTTTCGAACATCATCCTCTACCTCCACACCTTGAAGACTGTTATCTTGTTGTTTTTTCGCATATAATATGGTTTTTTTTGTAATTTTGGTATTGTTTCTCTTTTTTGGTATTGTTCCCTGTTTTTCTTGTGTTTTTGTATGTGTTCTTTTCGGTATAATAAAGTTTTTGTAAGGTTCACTAGCCTAATTGACTTTATAGCCATTCATGGAGTACAAGTAGGCATGGTTGGGTAGGGCTTTTCTATTGGTTTGATTTGCCATCACGACTAGTAAGTGATAGGTGCTGATACCTAAACTTCATACCACGAATATGGAGAAGGAATGGTTGCGTGTATTGTCTGCACATGACGCAAGATTTGTCCAGTGGGATGTTTTCATTTGAGGCACTATCATTCTGTCATGTACCAGATCAATACATGATCAATTATCCCGAAACGAAAATATAATATTAGGAGTGTAACCGCTACGTTTAATTGAATAGCGCAGCCACGCCCTCTCATATCCGGGATATTTAACCTATTTAGCGCACTCTTAGGTGAGCTTTATCCAAATCTTCTGTAATTAATAAATGCAGAATACAGAAATAACAAACTAGTTTGAATAAAGTGTATAGAAAGCATATAGAAACCGATAGAATTGCACAAAGTACACCCGAAACCCTTGAAATGTGGTAGGCGTGGCTGCTTACTAGAACTAAAGTTGGCGATGGCTGTGTTTCTGTTGAGGTAATTTCATCATGACACAGCTGTGCTCCTCTCTCGGTCCAACACTAAATAAGATGGCACTTGTCTCGAAATGAGGTATCATACAACTAGCCCATTCTATTAGATTGTTGCATAAGTCTTTTCCTCCCTGTTTTGATCTCTCCGTATTTCGTACGCATGGAAGTCGGTATTCCGTCATCACGTGTGCGTGACGTTACTTGACACTCTTTCATCATACTGGCTATCACTCACCCACCCTGCATTTGCAGGCCACAGTGCCGCACAATAACCACTGAAAAATCACGTCACAGTGGCGATTGTGCGGCATTGTGGCTTTCTTCAGGTCCCAGCCCCCCGCACTTCTGGGATGAAGGAAGCGACAAGCTTTACGAGCGTGAGTGTCGAGTAGTGGATGGTGATGGTGCATACCTCTAATCTTTAGGTTGGCTCGCTACTGAGTTTACGAAAAGTCGGAGAAAAGAACTTATGCAACGACCTACTATGCCACGTTCAAATGCCACGCCTACTCCGTCTCGGAGATAAGGAGTGTATTTCTAGAGAGAAACGAGCTTCTAGTCAGTAAAGAGTAAAAAAGTCGGATTTAATTTTTCGTACTAGTATGTAGGCTTTCTGCAAATCACGTAACAGAATTAAGGTCAAGAAAGGTCATCCCTGAACCACTTGTTGGCTGTTAGCCGCTGCCATGGTTAAGCATCCTCAACACGATGGAAGGGGGGGGGGGAAGGGGGGAAGGCTTGTAGTTGGCTGCCCAGAGAGAGTGGTGGGGGTCATCTCTGGAGGACTTAGTATTCAACAGAGCTGTTAAGGCGTGAATACGGGAAGGGGGTGGGGGCAAAAGTAGAGATAATGTAGTGGTAGGGCGGATGACACAACCTAGGGCCAGATTGCAGTGAAGTCATAGCTCTGGAAACTCACGCGCTCAGGACCTTTTTATCGTTTGTTTGGAGAGAACCCTCCAATTTTTAGATTACCTAGAGGATTGAGTATTGTTTATAGGTTCTTTGGTATAAAAGGATAAAGGATAAAGTCTTCGCCGTTGATCGATCCCTTTATGGGATGCGGCACGCATTCTACTTCCATTCAGAATCGTAGTGGCTTATTGAATGCGATGTGGCCTATACAATGACTTGCGGTGGCCAGCCGATGTACAAGTCAGTGTTTTATCCTCCCAGACGAATCTGGTACCAATTTACCGTCCCCGGAGGGTAGAAGGCTTGGATGGCCTGGGCGGGTGTCGACCCGGGAATCGTACCCGGCGCCGCGCGAGTGTTAAGCGCGCCACTTGTCAATACATCACCTCCGCCTCTCCTTTGGTATATGAAGAGGAAATCTTCTGCTTCCCCAGCGCTGCTTCCTATTTCGCCCTTGTTGACACAAAAGTCGTGACTTCGTGATCAATTCAGGACCCTTTGTGTGGATAACCCCTTGATGAGTTTGTATGGGCTCTATGTAGAGTAACAATCGTCACATGAAGTATGCAGGATCGTATAAACACCCCATGCAGCGGGAAGGACCCTAAAGGTTCACCGTTGTCAACCGGTGCTCAAGCTAGATCATGCCTCTTTTATTTGTGGATACACTGCATATTCCATCGATGGAGTGGGCCTGGCTGTCCACCTTCCTTGACTATGGCGTCACACTGTTTTTTTCCAGACAAAGCAATTTCATACAAGCGTCATCCTGCCCTGTACGATACAAAATCAAGGATGCTCTCTTCTATGCAATATGCCTCCAGGGGCAGCTGCCGTGAGCCACATTCTAATGAAGTACACAACTGCGGACCCCCATATCTGATATATGGTGGTGTATGTATTTGCCTCCACACACTACGCCACTACTTACGTCAAAGAACGCAAACACCCATGAGATCACGATCGAATGCCATTTGCTAGTCCGTGCGCGATCTCTACCAAAACCGAGCCCAGTTTGCGCGTTGCAGCTGAGCGAATAGGGCTCAACTTGCTAATTTTCAGATGCCGTTCAAAACCTGCAACACTGACTAGGGTCTCACTACAATTGCTGTGGAACCAGAACTTTTATATATAGAATAAATATAGATTCACAAAGTTGAATTATTTCTTCTTAGGAGCTGGCATGCTTGGGATGACCCTCTTGTTGGTGTGTTGGCCAGTCTTCGGAGCTTCCACGGAGAGTTGTCCGTTGTTGTCGATCTGTGTGTGTACGGCATCCAGGTCGCAATCTTCAGAAAGAGCCCTCTGTGGACGAAGTTCCTGAACAGTAAATGGTGAAGCTATGGTTGAGAATGAACACACAGCATATTAACAGTTGTTAATTCTTGATGTAGCCATGTTCGGTCTTCACTTCTTGGTGGCCTTCGATGGTAAGATCACGTCCTTCCAATTGTACCTTCAGCTCCTCTGGTCTTAAGTGTGACACATCCAATGCGACAGCGAATTTCTTGTCATCATTGATGTAGCTGAAAGAGAGAGATGTCTGATCGCAAGCTACGGATCAGTTCTGCGTTTTTAAGTCTCACCTCTTTGGTTTGATTTCCCACATGAAGCATGGAGTGATCGGCATCTCTCCAGTATGGCATGATCTGACGGCTCATCCAATCCATATCACGCATTGGACAGAAACGATCCATACGTCCCGAACGGCTCCTCCACCATGCGCCTCGAAACGGTCCATGGCCAGAGAGCCATGATCGTGATCACCTACACTGAATAATGTGATTACAGTAATGAAAGACGCGTACAATGGGGCACAGCACAGGAAGAAACCACACTAAATGTGACTTCTTGCACGAGATGGCTCCTATTTATTGGCCTGGGTAGGGGTTCTGGAAGAAAGTTGACGGGAAATCGTGATGATCTCCAATTCCTAACTTCTCACCAGCAAATACCTGGCGTAGATGTACAATATTCCTTAAATGACCTTAGTGAACAGCTGCGCAAAACACGATTATATTACATATGTAAAGTTTTCAGCCTTACATACTTGTCACATTTGTGTGTGACAAACAGTATTTACGTCTAGTACGGGGTAAAGATTTGTAATCCAATTGGGGAACGCAACTTAGATAGACTTCTTAGATCACAACTTTCTTGAGATGGCTTGTTAATCCAAAGTTAATTTCGTTGATAAACATTATGCTAGTTGGTGCCGCTTGCATGTTTTTCTTAAATTGATTCGACAGAACCTTTAAAGACTAGGTTTTATGGAGAGATCTTCACTGGCTACCGACCGGTGTTCGTCCTCACTACTTTCATTCATCTCATACGCATTTGACTAGAAAAGTGTTATGAATTGACTGTTCTATGAAATGAATAATACGTATTACAGTGATTTGAACAATGTACAGTGCTCTCCCCAAAAAGCTATCACTATAGATCCAGTGAAATTCGAAAAATTTCAGGCATATTCTCCTTAGAATATGCTAACTAGGAAGGACGTTACGATTATTGACAACACATTCCGCTCTACTCGTGTAGGCTGAATCAATCTAACCATTACATTTGTAACATTGATGAGATCCCTCCATTGTGTTTCGAAGGAGCAGCTCATTGAGAAGGGGCACTTGTCCAAATGGCTCCGCCCATGTGGTCAGCGAATACTATGCTGTGCCTGTTAACCGTAATGAACTCCGCCGCCACAAAACTATTTTCCGCACTGATCCCAAGTTGATCAGTCCAAGTAGATCAGTCAAACAACTACTGGAGACTCCTCATTATCTGATGGACAAAAGTCCTTCCTCCCCACTCCTCTCATCCCCTACCAGGGTCAAGGATACGTCGTGAATCGACCGTGGGTCATATTGGCAGGGATCAGTACTGAGCAAAGTAGCGAAGAAAGTTGCAGGTTAAATGATGCTTTCGAAAGAAAGTCGAATTCATGGGAGTGTTGTTTAGCGTCTGTGGGTTCCCCGATATTCAGTCGACCTCCGACTGGTGGAACAAATTCAAGACAGAGAGACGTGAAGAGAAGAGACTTTATTCAGCGAATAAAACAAATAACGGAGTGACAAAGATTAGGTACCAGCAATTGAGAGGCTATGGTAACAGTCGGGGGGGCCTATTTATAGGCAATGGGCGTGTCCACCAAGGGAATATTGGTGCGCATTCCCACCCAGTGGATACCGGGATACGGCCGAGCCCGGCGTATCCGTACGTCCTCGGCTGGGCCGCCATTTACGGAACATCCAGGGGCCGAGAACGGACCCGATTTGGAATGGAATGCGGCGGGGCGGTGTCCGTACTACGTATTCCGCGGGTTTCGTGAACAGCCGTGGGTGCTATATTAATGTTCACTGGGTAGTTTCATTACATAACAGATACTCTTCGTAGGCTAACCTTTATCAAACAATATGTACAAATTACATGATGGCACAGCGCCAACCAGAGCACAAAAATGAGGCCAGAATCTACGCCCTAGATCCTGACACTCAACCAACCAAGAAGGAAAGGGTATTGAACCCAAAATATCCTGCCATCGCAGGAATGTTGGACCATTCTTCACACGAACACGTCCAACCATCCTCTTACTTCTTTTGTTCAGACCAAAAGGGAACGACCATTGAGCGCTAGAACTACGCCTAAGGCCAACGACATCTGTAGGCGATTATGTACCCACTACTGCACCACTACTTTCCAGCACGGGAAAGGTCCTGCTCTTCAACGGGTGAAGAGAATGAAGTTCGATTGTCGCGACACTTCCCTTGAGCCAGGGGAGCAGCCCTCGACCAGCGTAGAGTCCGATCTCCAAGTCGTTCACGTCAGCACCCTCGAGAACTACGACGTTGGGAAATCCCCTCCGATTCGGGAGCAGACCTAAGAGTCTGCCAGCCTGCGCCGTGAGCTCGGCAAAGACTCCAGACTATTTTTCCATCAGGCGGCATTTTGAGGTTTCACCCTTCCAACATTTCCTTCCGAGAACGCTTCAAGTGTTTTGCTGCCACATTTCTAAATGGCGCTTTTCACTTTCGGTGGCCGATAAGGATAGTCATCCAAATAAACTGAGATTCTTGGGTCCTTTAAGATCACCAAGAAACACCGGTCCATTTACATCTTTGGAATGGCGCTGGGGCAATTTGTAAGACCAACATGGCAACAATTGAACTGAAACAGCCCCGAGGTCCTGTAGTGAAAGCACTTATTTCCTTCGCTTTTTCTGAAAGCGCGAGCGCTGCCAATAGCCAACAGCGACTCTGAGAAATAACTAAAGATGAAAACGCATCTTCTCCCCTGCAACTATGCAAATGTCCAGGTCCATCTATGGGGTGCAAGGGATAACAGTCCTTTTTTTGTTGCTTTAGTGACTTCCCGGTAATGCAACACACAACCGTGTTAACTACCATCTTTTTTTAGCCACGCAAGACAATGGAGAGCCAGGTGACTGGCTCCCCCCTTAATTCTCCATTATTTTCGCGATCTTTCAGGCGAGAGCATGTCATCCACCTGCCTTTGCAATACCGAAGAGTGCAGGCCTCGTTTTCTGACGATGAGGGTGTCTCTGCACATGCGATATCATGTTCTACTCAGAACTAGTAATGCTCAAGCTCACTATCCAGACATTGCAAAAGGTTTCCCCGAAAACTTTTCTAAGGACGCCTAACCAGTTTTCATCTGAGCGTGTTTCATGTGCTATGATTCTGCTGCTGGCGTATATCGATCAAAACTCATGCCGTTTTGATTTCCGAAAGAGCTAGCATTGTCTTCCAATTTCAAGCATCACCACCTGGCACGTCTTGGACCATGACTTAGGCCGGGACAATGGAACAATCATCCGACCATTCTCCAAGGGGGCTCACCCTATTGATTACGCCATAGTCTGAGAGTTACGATTTGCTACCGAAATAGCCCGTACTCCCCTCTCTCCAAAAGCACAGCGCCTGACGGTCAACGGGGGTTCCCTGACCAAAAAATTCTTTGACGCAGTCCTCTCTTGAGCTCTCAAGTTCAATGTCGCGACCCCGCTCCGGGTGTATGACTACCCTTCTGGACGCCTTTGCATGTTGCGGCACTCTAGTCGCGCTACAGCGACGGGTCTCCTGTCGGCAAACTCAAATCTTCGAGTTGGATCCCTAAAGCAGCTTAGAAACGTTTGTTCCCTAAGAGGAGGGTGCTATCCTTGCTTTTCTGGACATGCAAACGCTTACTCGAACTTTATCAGCTCCTTCTACGCTTATTTCCGCGTTCACAGCTATGCAAAAGACGTCCATTTGGTTGCCTGCCCGCGGTCGAACACTTATGCTCACTAACCGTTGCTTACCAGCTCTACTTCAGCTGTCTATGTCAAAGACCCCTGCTTTTAAGCTTGTTTGAGGAGACGGCAGCTGTAATTGGAGATCACTGAAACCGCAGATCTATCAATGCTCTTACTTCGATTCCGAAGATTTTTCGCGTCGTATAGCCGTTGGTTTCGCCGAACGCGTTACGTTTGCCGCGATTCTAATCGCCAACTTTTGCTGCGAAACCCTCAAACACGCAATCCTCTAACGAAAGGTGGAATAGTGACTTCTTGGGGCACGGTTCTCTCTTAGCAGTTCTTACTACGTAGATCCCGGCCTTTTCCGCCTGGAGGGGTGACTTTTGGTGTCGATGTTATTCGGCAAGAGGTGGGCAAAGTGACCAGTTTCGCCAAGCAGATTAAAGCATTTCCTGCAAAACCCGATCTTCATTGCCGGAGGTTGCCGCTTTCTCAGCGAACATTCTCTTTTTGAAGGTTTGAAACCTTCTGTTCGCATGCCTTTGGGGTGCGCCGTCCGCCATTTGAGTCTTTTCAAGTCTCAGTGCAAACCCTTTTAACCAGCATGCATTCGCTGCCTCCCATCTTGGGCGCTCTAAAGCCCGCTAACATTGTAAGAATCCTTCAATGTGTAGGCTGAGTACAATTTTGAGGCTAAATGGAAATCCCATTACAGTACTGCGGGTGAAGTCTTCCGGAGATATCCTCGCATGCGACAGCAGACAAACTCCTACGCGATTCATGCTTCTCATCTGAGTCCTATCCCATCGCAGTCAATTACTTTGAGCTTCTCGCAGGGTTACGGTCGCGCATCCTTAGACGCCTGCAGCCTTTCCGCACGCAAAATCACCCTTTTTAACGCTTCTGGAAGCCCCTTATAGCACTCTGATCGCGCCGATGCCAATTCAGATGGTTTACCAACACAATCAGGCCTATCTCTCTGTCGCGACCGAAACCTGTCATAGATACTTCATTTCCAAGTGCTCGCAAAAAGTCACTGAGGGAACCCGTTCCGCATCCATAGTTTGGGACTTCTGCTATGTCTCTGGGCCTTGAAAAACCTCTTTAAATACACTGAACAGTCCTCGTTCATGGCATGGGAAGATTGACAGCCTCAGAGTTGTGGCGAGTTTTGAAAGACAGAAGCATCCGACTCACGCGACTGTCGATGCGTTGGAATGAACTGCCGACCAGGATGGACTCGATCGTCCGCTGGAGATTGACCTCTGGCGGGCCTCGTCGTCCAGCAGCGTTCATTCCTATGGCATCACGGGCTTGTCGCTCTGGAAATCGGTCTTATTCCACGTTTTCACGTGATAGAGCTGTTGACTAACAGCCGAACAATCTAACAATATTTTTTTCTCACCTTGGGCTTGCATATCTGCGGCGTCACTTCGATTCCAAGGACGTCGCAGCCTCGGCCCGTGAGTTCGTCCTACTTGCTCTGGCAACTGCACAGGGCGGGATTTTATCTATCAGGCACTAGATGCCTCTTTCTCTGATCACTTGTAGTGAGTCGGAAAGCCTATGCTCAACCTCTGAACATTGAGTCTCTTAGGACAGTTGCCGAGACCTCTGGAATTCTTGCAGGTTTGCGTGAATTGCCGTACGCGCTAGGGCCTCTGCATGCATAGCTACTAATTGTAACTCGCAATTGCAGAATTTGTTGCGCGAATTATACTCTGGAGTTATCGGATTTCCTCGAAAATAGTATGAGCTGCTGCGGTCCAGTACGCAGGTCGCCGACGGCCTTTTCCGCGTAGCCGATTCCACTGTCCCTATGGACCAGTGTTCGAGAAGTAGTCTGCTTTGTCTGCGCAGATAATTTGCGTATCTGCTCATCCATAAGAGTGGCCCGCCCCGGGTAATAATGTTATCGCAAAGGCACTGGATAAATGTGAAATCAGTTGTGGCCTACCCTCCAATCTGTGTATCCAGAGTGGTTTTCCGCAAACATCACGTCCATGTTGCTTTCGTGATTTCACCCAGACTGGTTAGCTGGCCGCGCTTAATCTCAGGACATTTCTTAAATTGAACCACGATCGAGTCGATCGGATGTTGCCAAGGTCTTGGCTCTCATGTGTCGTTAGGTGTCCTAGTGGGTTTTTCCCCAGATTCATTTCAGTCGACTCCGACTGGTGGAAAAAATTCAAGAAGAGAGCGTGACAGAGAGAGATTTATTCAATAAAACAAATAACGGAGTCGACAAAGACTTAGGTAACAGGCGGAATTGAGAGCCTCATGTACAGTCGGGGGCCTATTATAGGGCAATGGGCGTGTCCACCAAGGGATATGGTGCCCATCAACCAGTGATACCCGGGGATACGGCTCGAGCCGGTCCTCGCTGCCGCATTTACGACCATACATGGGCCGAGAACGGACCCGAAGCCTGCCTACATACATAAACAGGAGTGTTGATCAGCGGCCTCGTGCTGGCCAGTTCCTATTCACACGACATGAGGAGGATGTGTAAGGAATCTCGCGTCTGTCCGAATTTCTCTCCTTTATTTTGTTCAGAAGACGTCATGAAAGCTTCATGAAAGCTCTAGTGTATTTTCTATAGGCCCTCACCATACAACATAAATCGTTCTTACCGCTCTGCGAAAGATGGTTTCTGCATGATGTTGTACCCTTAAAACAATGTTGTGCAATTGTAATGGGCGCTTCACTCTCAATACGCGGTGGCAGCAGCAATACGCTCAATGCCTCGCTTCATGTTCTTTCTTGGAGGAGAAGGTCATCGTAAGATTCTTTTGAAGTTCCATTTTGTGCATCAACACTACTTTTGAGAAATTATTTCCTTCAATTTTCACTGTTCTTATTAGACTATTCGGTTTGGTGAATGTTCTTGGTACTCGGGTGCTTATTCAGTAAAAATTCGCACAACATATAACGTATACAGCCACATCCTCTTGAACAGAGCAGATACTATATCATATTACTATTATTTACTATTTATATATTATTGAGGCAACTAATGGACATGATATGCAGCCATCCACTGCGAGAGACTCCAGCAATGTTAGCAGGTCAGTCACTTACTAGGTACCCCTGTAGCAATCTATGAGGGAGTACGTTCCTCTTAGTTCTCGAAGAACGCCAACTTCACGACTTCTTCGTCGTGTAAACGTCACAGGAGAGCGCTTTTGCTGGAGTTTGGATACCAGCCAACGCGGTGGCCCAAACCCCACGAAAGCGCTGTCTCAAATTCACCCTAATATTCCATTCCAGGTATGTCGGTAATTACCAGCTCACAGGGTTCAACAAACTGGGCTGTTTGAAGGAAGCCGCTCTTCTTATATTTTCGACACCTGCGTGATACGATGCAAGGCAGGGTGGTTCACCGCTGCATAGGATGCAAGAAGGGAGGAACCAGAGCCAGCATAGTTGTAATAGGATCTTCCCCTTCTATTTGCGAGTTACATTCTCTGACAATTTTTATTTGGGGGTATAAGTGGGAGGTAATTGGTAGACCCTGTTATTTTTCCGCGCGTCTGCTTGCCATGGAAGACTTCTCAGGATGAAGCTGACCAACTTGTTTTCCAGGTGGGAAACAAGATGCTCTCACCTTACGTTCACTTATGCGAAGCTCATCGTGAACACTTAGTTCTGTCAAGAAGCTAACTGAGCCACTTTTCGCGCATGTGAAGCCTAGGCGAATTGAGGGAAAACCGGCACATACATTACGCCGCGAGGCAAGAAGCATCCAAAAAAATTCATATGCACCTACAACTGCAATATTTAGACGAAGGTGAACGAGATGATATGCTCCGGCACTTCTACCGTAACTAATATGGAGCGCGTTGGAGAACAGTCGCCGATGTTACACAATCGGCTTCCGGTTAATTTCGGCATTAAAAACGTAACACTTCGCAAAGCTTCCTTAGCCTTCCGAGCCTGATATAGATGCTTCGTTGTGCTGACGTTTCAGTGGATGTTGCCTTCTTCAGAGTTTCAAGGTGAAGAAATTCTACCGGGCACTAAAGATCAAGCCAATCGTGTGATATTCTTAAAATGGTACGAGCATAGTGCTCCTGGCTCGTTAAGGATGTATTGCTTCTTCGACAGAAAACTGAAGTAACGAGACAATCCATCGTCTTCCTACAGCGATGTCTACATCACCATACAGTACCAACATTTATCGCCAACAAACGGCCACATGACGTGTGCGGATATTCCGGAATCGAAAGGAGTCGCCAGGCAATCCAGTGCTGTCCCACTGATTTGTAGAATCATCAGCAGTGGGCCTTCAGAGCACCAAAAAGCAGCATGACCGCCGTGTCGCATTAGAGGAAGTTCTGCAGGAATACCGGACAACTGGAGAAAAAGGGCCTCACCAGGGACCGGGTCGGATGCGCGAAAGGACTGGATCTACAGCGAAGCTCTCAGCTTCCTGGAAAGTGTAGAGTTTTGCGGGCAGGTCTCATTTGGGAACTCTGGGACTAGCTAATTATCGACTCAGAGGTTCTGCTTGCAGGTCCGCGGATTCGTCGGTTTAGAAGTTAACTCCTGAGGAGTTTCTTCGTCGGCTCCGTGCTCGAGGTCGCAATCGCCAGTGGTCCTTGAAGCGGGGCCGGCGATAACGACGGCATCGAGTAAAAAGGAAAAAAAGTAGAAAATGGAAAAACGAGGGCAGCATAATTTCTTGCAAAGTTTGAGAATCGATATTGATGAGATGGTTTCATAGACCCCATCACTTTGATTCGGAGTGACGCGGGTACAGTTTGCAGCACGTCAAAGCGTTTAGAATAAGAGAGGCTGACTGCAAGTCAGGACAGATTCGCTGCTTTCGGTGTGTATTCCAGTGATACGATATCTCAGCGATATACTACATCTGGGTTCAAATCATCACATTCAAGACAGTGGGTTGGGGACGAACTTCGCAAAATGGACAGGCGCGGATGTGCTCGCACCAGTGAAAAATTGCTCCTGGTCGCCACTTTGCTGCTAAGCGACTCTGCAATTATGTCCAGTTTACCCAGCCCCTGGTTCCTCTTATGTAATGGATCAGGACCTTACCATGGCAGAAGGTGAGTTAGAAGTGTTTCGTCTATTTCTAGTATTTCTCATGGCGTATTTGTATTCCTTGTGTTTTCTTTTGCTTAGTCAAACATGTGCACTTACTTACGTTTTGTGGGAGGATCCGTAGAAGTCGTTATAGTGCTCCCTGATGCGTTCTCGCGCCGTAACTGCCGCGTCTGCTCCTATCCCATATCAGCAAATGGGTCCAGTTCTTCCTCAAGAGCCTCATATCGCATCGCAAGCTCCAGCGCATTCTTCTTCCTTGCTAGCAAGTTGTGGATTACATGAAACATTCAACGTTCAGGCTGGAAACCCAGGAAATTGAATTTAGATGAATTATGGAGACTCACCAGCAGAAAGGTAACAACCTTTTTCCCTCGGTCTGGCTCCAAAGACATCACGTTCTGCAGCCTGGCGAACCTTCGGCATAATATGCCGAATTTCGATTCTACTACACGACGAGCACTTAACGTGAGTGATACTACTGGCAGGGACAAAGAGGACAAGTAGGTACCTACCCGCTATCCTTTCGGCTGAACCTTCGTTTGCTGGGCGTCTCCGCTACTCTTTGGGTGTACGGCCGGACATAGCGGTACTCCTGCGCAAAACCGCAGTCCACCAATATGTGGTACTGCACTGCACCAGCGACACCCAGCTGTCGCGTGGGAGGGAGAAGGTCGTATCTGCTTTCAAAATTCCTGAGGCAGGGCATAACAAGACGAGTAATTCTTCGCCTGGTATCTCACCTTGATATTCGAGTCCCTGAAAACTCCAGCGTCCCCTGCCCGACCACGCTCCCACATCGAAAGCAAGGACGCGACAGCATCAAAGCCAGCAGAATTATGGAAAAAGTCCTTATAATTGTGTACAAGCTGCCAGAATGAACGAGTTTCTGTAATGATTCTATAGTCGGATTCTGAGAAGTTGCCGAAATAGTCCCTCTTCCTCCTCACCCTAATTTTGATGTGTTTTCCATCCAGAAAACCGACAGCCCTTGGGTAGTCGTAGCGCCGTTGCGTCCTCACAGCCGCTTCTTCCACGTCGTTCCGCGTGTACGGCGGGAAAGTCTCGGCAAACAGCTCTAGGAAGCAGGAGTCATGCAGAATTCAGTCGTCGAATGTTTTTTGGAGTGCTTACCATCACTTATAGCGTTCGTAACCTCAAAAACGATTTCACTGTCCATAGACTTCCCGCAGAGCATCTCTTCAGCTGGAGCCCCGAAGCTGTAACCATGACCCACATGCCTTGACATGTAAATTTTTGATAGCCGTGCGATTCTGTTCCAATAAATATCTACCATCTCAGGAAGACAGAAAGTCGATGGCCCACCATTCAGAAAAGGGTAAGTTGTGAGGCTTAATTACTAATGACGACGTGGTGAAAAAAGTAAGGCTTGGACCTCATGGGAACAGTTCTCCCACCCATCGTTTTACTCTCACTAGGAAGGCACTTCTTTTTTTTTCTCGTGATATCACAATGCGAATATTGATACAACTTTGAAGCAAGAATCCTCTGTAAGATCACGCTGCTCCTTCTAGGTTGCAGTCTGAACCCACGTTTTGATAGGTGGCTAACAGTCGCTTACGTACCCAATATCAAAGGAGTCGAAAGAAAAGAAAAGAAAAGAAAAAGAATAGTGGCGTACCTGTTGTTCTGCATCTGCTTCTTCCAGAGGATTGGTGGATTCCATCAAGACGATGAAGGAGTGAACCCTTTCAATGAGCTTATATAGTGCTCAGGGTGGCCATGGCTGTTAACGTGTTGACGAACGCGAAGGTCTGACGGCCACTGAAGCCAGGATCGAAGCCCGGTCCCGTCATGAAAGGTCAGACCTTCGCACTGCCATCTGATGCTGGACGTGACGTGGCCTGTAACCCTCGATCATTCAGAAGCTCTCAGCCACCGATGCGGTTGTTCCACCTCAGCGTGCGTCATGCAAAGCTCATTCATACCGCTTCTCGACGAGGTTATGAAAACTGAAACAGGACTTTAGCGAGGCTCTTACGAATGTTACACTCCAGCGCAATCAATGTATTTAGTACGATATATTTTTTAGTAAATTCTAGGTTTTTGACAAGGAAAATGCTTTTTTGACTGCTTATTATCTATTTCACTGCGGAAGAAGGGGCGTGTCAGGCAGTATGAGTGTGTCACGGCACCAAACCCGTTCTCTGCCAGTTGTTGAAACGGGTATGCGACAGCAATCGATAGAAAACGTACGAACGAACTATAAACTTACAGCCGGACATAGTGGTACCCCTGCGCAAAACCGCAGTCTACCAATATGTGGTACTGCACCAACGACACCCAGCCGTCGCGTGGGAGGGAAGAGGTCGTCTCTGCATTCGAAAATTCCTGAAGCAGGGCATAACAAGACGAGTAGCTCTCCACCTGTTACCTCACCTTGATATTTGAGTCCCTGAGAACTCCAGCTTCCCCTGCAAGAATCTTTGAAGCAGGAATCCTCTTCACCTGCTCCTTCTCAGGTTGCAGTCTGAACCCACGTTTTGATAGGTGGCTAAATCGCTTACGTACACCAATTTCAAAGGAGTCGAAAGAAGAAAAGAAAGTAAAAGAACAGCAGTGGCGTACCTCTTGTTCTACATTACCTTCGTCAAGCGGGCCAGCAGAGTCCATGACCTCAAAGGACCTTTTCAAAGAAGATGAAGGAGAGAACCCTTTCAATGAGCTTATATAGTGCTCAGGGTGGCCTCCACTGCACGACAGATGTTAACGTGTTGACGAACGCGAAGGTCTGAAGGCCACTGAAGCCAGGATCGAAGCCCGGTCCCGTCATGACAGGTCAGACCTTCGCACTGCCATCTGATGCTGGACGTGACGTGGCCTGTAACCAAGCGTACGAACGAACTATACAGTCTTGTCATTTGCTCGCTTCAACAACTGGTGGATAACGTGTTTGGCACTGGGCCTAACTCATTTCGCCTGACAAGCGCCTTTGCCCGCAGCCATCTAAACCATTTTTGGACTTAACGCGTAAGTATATACAGTGCGGAAAAAAACGGAACAAGCTCAAGTCGCGCCCTTTTTAGTAGCTTTACCTTACCCCTTCAATTTTTCGTCATTGTTCATTCTAATACTACTAGGGGAACATCGGCTAAGATTTTAACCGCTGTTAGGTCCAAACCCAGGTCTCTGTTTTTCTCCAACAGAGTTCGTTCTAGCTATAATTTACTCTTACGCCGCAATCTCATTCCACAAAATCTCAATGCTTTCAAACGTTCACTTAGCAATTTAGTTTGATTATTTCCTTTTCCTCGTTTCATCTTGTTTGTTTGTTCAATTTAATTGTTTTTTTATGTTTGTTCGTTGTTTCTTCCATCAAAATTACATGCATTTAAGCATGTCCATGAATAAATAACCCCCGAGACCATTTTCCTCGCACTCGACAAGGACCAGGATCCACAGGGAAGAATGCGCTTTCTTTTTAACTTTCTTCCCTTTCATTCGATGCCTTTCGAGGAATTGAGGACTCACTGCGTTCCCTGAGCTGCGTACGATGCCAATATTACAATTTAATGAGATTCACTTCTCCAGAACAAGTTTGAAATGCAAAAAAATGAGTAGATTTTGTTCTCCGCAGAAAAGAGCGCAAAAAGCAACCTCACCATATGGCACGGAAAATTAATACGTACGCAAACCCAGTGAGGGCCACCTCTATAAGCACGGCACTTTGCGAATCTGCTCCTAACACAAAATATTAGTACCTTGAGAA